AGGGGTTTCAGGAATTGTATCTATGTGTGTGTCAAAATGATTTTATTTGGTATGTCGTTTATGATTTTGTGCACGTGGAGAGTGAAGAAATGAGTGGCTTATGTGATAATGATGATGACAGGTGGAGTTTTTAGGTTGGGATGTTTCGTAGTGTAGAAAAGTGTGTTTTACGGAAAAAATAATCGACAAGTTTGTGAGAAGTGTGAATATGATAAGCTTGGTTCGATGAATTGAAGTTCATCAATGAAAATGAGCTTCATTCTGATTGATATCTTTTTGTTTACTTATCTGTTTCATTATAGCCCTGCTGTTGCCGAATGGCCGTTTTCGAATGAACACGTCAGGCCACCAACATATCACTTCTAATATTGATTTAGTCATTTCTTTTCCTGCCACTATAGCTTAAGAGACCTTTTCTCTCACTTTTTACCTTTTTGCATCTCGCCTTGATTTGCTTTGTAAAATGAAAGAATCTGATTTCCAAAAAGAGAGAAAAAAAAAAAAAGATTGGTTTCTTCTGAGCTGCTGGCACAGTTTGGATGGGCAGACTGTATGGTGGTCAGATGTCAATATTCTGTCTGTCCTATGAAGAGGAAGAGGTAGTATTGTAAAGATAAGATAGATATTGTCAGCATTTATTCGCTTAAGCCTTTTGAAGTTGTTTAGTTTAACATTTATACGGAAGTTCCTTTTTGAGATGTAGAGAAAGTTGAAGGATTTTTTTTTTCTTTTTAATTAATGATGTCATACAATGGTAGAATCTGCATAATTAGCTTTGATGGCATAAACTCATAAACGTAGTACGCTGCAACTTTTTGGTGTTAGTATTGGTACTTGCATGATGTATGTTGCCATATCTTTCAGGACTTGATATTTTAATCATATTGGTAGTTGAGTAGTTACTTCTTGAGTTTTGACAATTTTATGTTTCTTGCTCTCTGTTCTAAGTTTGAAGTTACCAGCTGTCAATTTGAAAACAAGAGTTTATGGGATTGAATTCTTATCTATATCATTTTTATTGCAGAAAAAAATGGTTGCATTTGGAAAAAAGTTGAAGGAACGGCAAATCCAAGAATGGCAAGGGTATGCACAACTATTTGTTTCTGATAAACAGATTATTTTTTGAGTGATGGTTTGGTTATATATTATTGTTATTAGTAAGTATGGCAATGAGGTAATCAACTGGAAAATGTATAAATCAAGTATCGAGATGAAGCAACACTATGTATTAACAGCTTAAACTGCTTATTTCATAAAATCCCTATGCATGCTATATCTTGAAATATTTGGATGTCATACAGATACTACATCAACTACAAACTCATGAAGAAAAAAGTGAAGCAATATGCTAATCAGATCGAGGCTGGAGCCCTGGAGCACCGACATGTTCTCAAGGATTTCTCTAGAATGCTGGATAATCAGGTAAGTGGAATTGCATAATATTATGTAAAATGTTCTGATCTCTTTATTGTGCTCGCGCAATCTGCTTCTTGTTTGTCTTTTTATACGCATTTTTATGTTTTATTTTCTGTAACTTTTTAGTTTTCATGGAGGTGGCAACATAATGGTGCCGAAGGTGACCTTCACTTGTATGTACTTGCAGAATTAGCAAAAATAAGACAATTTTATAGTTTTTAATGCTCGGAGTTGATAATGTTTATAGTTAATGGAGTAATATCACAGATGTATAAGAAACTAAGAGAGCATATAGATTTTATTTTAAGCAAATTTCTCTGTTATAACTCTTTAGTTGTATCACAGCAAAGTGGAATGCGTGATCTCTCTCTCAATTTTGGTTGAAATATTTCAAGTCATTTTCGATTTTTCTTACATCTTTAGTGATTTTCATCTGGGTAAGTAAAGTATAGCATCTTGTTAACAAAATTTCTGGAAGGGTAAAAAATAAAATTATATATTGATGTTTGCACTGTACTTTTGGAATATAGATTTTGTGCTTGTCCTGTTAAGCAGTACGATGTTTTACTTAAGCCTTTATTGAAATCTCTGTTACATTACAGATTGAAAAAATCGTGCTGTTTATGCTGGAACAACAAGGGTTGTTGGCTAGCAGGATATCCAAGCTTAACGAGCAACAAGATTATCTCCAGGAACAACCTGATATATCCAAAATATGTGAGTTGCGTGAAGCCTACAGAGCTGTTGGCCAAGATCTTCTGAAGCTTCTATTTTTTGTTGAAATGAACGCTATTGGTCTGCGCAAGATCCTCAAGAAGTTTGATAAGCGTTTTCAGTACAAGTTCACAGATTACTATGTGAAAACCCGTGCTAATCATCCTTACTCCCAACTCCAGCAAGTTTTCAAGCATGTGGTAATATGATAGAATCCCGACGAACAACCTTCCAATAAAAGCACCACTATTAATCGATTATCTGCCTTAGTACTATCAAACTTATTACTTCTTAGCTCCTAAATTTGCAATTTGACATAGGGGCTTGGAGCAGTTGTTGGAGCTATATCACGTAACCTTGCAGATCTTCAAGACCGTCAAGGAAGCTACTTATCAATATATGACCAACCCGCTCTGCCTCTCCAAGTATATGCGCACATATATAAAATCTAATTAAAGTAAACTTAGTCTATTTCTCATCACTTGAAGAAACTGATATGCAGGATCCCGTTGTGGACTCGATAAAGTCAGCCGTGGACAGATTGACTTACTCGACGAACTTCCTCAACTTTTTGGGGCAACATGCGCTCATCATGCAAGAGGAGTTGCCCTCGCCGGCAGAGGAGACTGTAGACGACCAGAAATACCATTTCATATCACTTCTTCTGAACCTGGCAAACACATTCCTTTACATGGTCAACACGTACATTATTGTCCCCACTGCTGATGACTACTCGATGAGTCTTAGGGCGCCTGCAACGGTCTGTGGGGTCGTGATTGGGGCAATGGCTGTTGCACAGATATTTTCTTCCGTGTATTTCAGTGCTTGGTCCAACAAGTCATACTTCAGGCCTCTCGTGTTTAGCAGCATTGTTCTTTGCTTAGGGAATCTTTTGTATGCAGCGGCTTATGATCTGAATTCGATATGGGTGCTTCTGATTGGAAGACTGTTTTGTGGGTATGTCTCTCTTTCTCTCTCCCTGTTTGTGTGTGTGTGTGTGTCTATGTCCCTGTTTTGATGAAATTATTTATCCATCTTTGTTTGATGATTGTAGGCTGGGTTCTGCCAGAGCAGTTAACAGACGTTATATTAGTGATTGTGTGCCACTTAAAACCCGGATGCAGGCTTCAGCGGGGTTTGTGAGTGCTAGTGCTCTAGGAATGGCATGTGGGCCTGCACTGGCTGGGTTACTTCAGACCAAGTTCGAAATTTACGGCATCACATTCGATCAAAACACTTTGCCTGGTTGGGTGATGGCTATCGGGTGGTTTGTATATCTTATATGGTTGTGGATTTCATTCAGAGAACCTGTTTTTGAGACTGAAATCGATCATGTCCCAGAGGAGTCTACTGCTGGTATGTATACGAACAAATTATAATCTTCTTTCTAGTGTTTGATTTTTTTGCCTTCGTATATGACATGTGTGTGTATATGACATTGTTGTACTATCCTCTATATGAATTGAACTTCCATGTGTCAAAAGTTATATCGGATAATGTCCTCTATATGACTTGAACTTTTATGTATCAAAATTATATATCGTGTAACTATTAGTTTTCGAGCTTATTCCATTAATCAAAGAGCTGATGCGCAAATGTGCCTGCGAAAATCAGTTTACATTGTAGAATGATACTTGGAAACCTGACATTTTTTTATTTATGACAGGACATGATAATCTTGAGAAGGGGCTCACAGCACCTTTGCTTTTAACAGAGACGGAACATGGTCAAGATGATGATGATGATCAAGAATATGATGAGAGTGAAGAGGCTCCTGAGGAATCTCGACGACCAGCTAACTCTCTAAGATCAGCCTACAGGTTACTTACACCTTCCGTAAAGGTAAGCATAACTATCTAGTTTTATGTTGTTTAGAAATCAGAACTTGCAAGTATATTTTTTAATGTTCTCATATTTGAAAGAAAATGTTAAACTGTAGGCCTATATGGTGATTAATCATGTATCAAAATTCTTTTTGGACTCATCAATGGTTGAAACAGGATAATATAGACCTGTTGGACTTATATCTTGCACTGTGTACAAAATGAATTAAAATTGTTTTTTTCTTTTTTGCTGAGGCATATACATAGTATTATAATATGGTAAATAATACATTTTAAGGAAGGAGTAAAGGTTTGGATTCGAAAGCAATACCAATGAGAGGCACAAGACTAGTTTAAGATAGAAGTGAGTGCTTACCTGCATTGGGAATAAAGAAAACCCACGCAATGCTAATGAGGGGCACAAGATTAGTTGAAGAAGAGAATAGGAAGGAAAATGGAAGTGAGTGCTCACCGGCATGAGGATTAGAGAAATCCCACTTACTATACCAGTTCTCAGTAGTAAATCCCAACCGATTGCGAGTTAAAATTACAGCTGTCAAGGCTTGAAAGATTTAGATCTCAAACCAAAACTAGACGAATAAGGATACCAACAATTGTTTTCTGCTCATTTAGTCAGGAAACTTGTGTGATTTCTTATGCATGTTTCATATCTAGAAGAGAACTATTGTTGTTTTTGCCCAACTTAGGTNTATTTGTCCTCCTTAAGCTGTATATTTGCCACTCATACTGACACACATGTCATGTTTTGTGTAATCTCATGAAGGTTTGCATCTGTCTTACAGGTTCAGTTGCTGATTTACTTTATGCTTAAATATGCAATGGAGGTCCTACTGTCAGAATCAAGTGTTGTCACAACTTACTACTTTGGTTGGACTACAAGCACTGTATCAATTTTTCTTGCCTGCCTAGGTCTCACAGTTCTTCCAGTTAATGTTGTCGTTGGAAGTTACATAAGCAATATGTACGAAGACAGGTGTGTACTTTTCTGCTATTCCAGGCCTCATATCTACATTATGTTTAATGGCTTTAGATTTTTTTCTTAATATATTTAAATTGAGTCTTGATTCATATTTATTTATTTTCTGCAAATGTAATTCTTTGTGTCAAAAGCAGAAAGATAATTAAAATACAAATTCACAGTGCATTTGGTTTTGGTCTTATTAAGGGCCCAAACAATGTCCGAGCGGTTGTGACAGCCAATTTTTTTTGCAGATTGTGCTAAAATGATGCAAAAAGATTTGATAGTATTTAATAGCATGTAATGATCGAACATCTTTTCCTTAATATGTGCTAAAGATCTACAACCTAATTGTATCATTGGGGAAAAGCCTTTTGTCTTGAACTATTGTTTATCACAACCTACTCATCAACTTATACCATTGATCTTTGTTTGCAGGCAAATATTATTAGCATCTGAAATTGTGGTCTTCCTGGGTATACTTTTCAGCTTCCACTTTATTGTACCATACTCTGTGCCACAATACGTGTGCTCAGGCCTCATCATGTTTGTATCTGCTGAAGTATTGGAAGGTACTTTTTTTTTCTTCACCTGCCATTTCCTTTTAACTCACGAAGTGTTTTTATGCTACATAGAACACATAACTGAAAAGATAGTGAGATTTGTTCCCACTAATCTGAAACCTCTTCTTTCAACTTTTGCAGACCTATGAAAATGGTAGTTTTTCTGGTTTTCCATTTTTTTGAGTTGTATACACACCGTACTACTGCCAGCGTTATTGTTTATTAGTAAATGCAAACATTCAATTTGTTTGGGGATCATATGCGAGTCATAGTGTTCTGGAAAAGTCGATCCCTTTATGATTGAAGAGAAAAAACTATTTATGTAACCAAAAATAAAAATACAAAATAAAAAAATGAAGAGTAATGGCAGCAATTGATTGAGTTCAGTAGTTTCTCATATCAAATTATTGACATCGTCGAATGTTGAATTATTGACATCGTCGAATGTTGAATACTACACAACAATTTTACATGTTGCTGATCATTTTTCAAAAAGAAAAGTATGGCTCATGTGGCTTTTTTTTTTTTAATATTTAATTTTTTTATTATTGCAGGGGTAAACTTGTCACTCCTTTCGAGGGTGATGTCATCCAGGCTGTCTCGTGGGACCTACAATGGCGGCCTTCTATCAACAGAAGCCGGTACACTAGCTCGGGTTATAGCTGATGGTACCATCACTCTTGCCGGGTTTTTGGGGGAGAGTAGGCTCTTGAATGCCACCCTTCTCCCATCTCTCGTCATTTGCATTGCCTCCATTTTCGCTACATGCTGTACGTACAATTCCTTGTACTAAGACCACCATTTTACTGTTCGGCTAAATGTCACATAGTTGAAAAGCTCTTCTATGTACACACAACCCATTCTTTATTGTCTCCCCTTGGCTTTGAATTGTCATAGAGTTGGCCCTTGTATCCAAACTATTGTCTTTATTCTTTTTGTTTCTTTGGAAATTACTCTCCTTTGTGATGAATGTGAATTTTGTTAAGTTAGCCTTCCTCTGTTTGTGGATATCATGGATGGGTACCAAATCGGGCCGGCCCGAAAGTACCTTTCTAGTTTCTACAATAAAACAAGGATTTTTTTTTTTAAAGGAGTTTTCTCAAATACAAGAGCTAGTAAGGCCCACAAGTGAGATTAGGCTGAAGTCCTCACCAAACAAAGACGAGTCTGAGGAAACTAACTACAGTAGTTGAGCCACCAAATCTTGACCTTACTTGAGTAGTGTCTTTAATTCAATTTTAACCTTGATAATTAATACCAAAAACTCCAAAATATAGGTGACAGGATTATTCTGTAAATTTAAGAACCCTCCGTCCTTTATAAATAAAATAGTTGGTGAAAACATATAGTAGTACTTTTTACCAGCTTCATTAAAGCATCCACAATGCTTTGGGTTCATTCCTAAAAAATTACATGCCACATAAGAAATGATGCTCTGATGTGATAGCCACAAAAAGAGACCCGGTCTCCCCTTAATTCTATTTTAGACTCAAGTAGAGACCTAGTCTCTTTGCATTGGAGTGAATTTTATTAATTTTACATAATTTTATCCATGTCATTTTATTAATTTTACATAGTTTTATCCATGTCATCTAAGACTTGAGTTTATTTACTTGCCACATAGGCAAGACTAGACTCAATGCATTGAAGATGCTCTTATGTCCAAGAGATAAGTTCCACATATTTTTGTCTGAATCGGTCTAGTAGTTAAGCGGGTCGATTCACCAAATTTTTTAAATAAAGTGGATAGTTACGGTAAAAAATATTATACTTAATATATATATATATATTAAATATAACACTCGAAACAAAATATTTGTTATATTTTGGCAGTTCCAGCGTACACTTAAAATGGATATCATAAAAATATTTTTCAGCATCCTCACAATCGAATATTTGACGAAATTGAAATTTGTGGGCATCAATTTTTCAAACATTAATTAAACATTTATCATGAGTTTGTGCAGGTACTTTTAGTTGTACCCTTTATAAGTCAAGGTGTATGTACCCAGCACTCAATGACTAGTGGTTACCAAAGGCACAAATCAATATTTGGTTCGCTGTAAGATGCCACAATTCCATCTCCTAACATTAATTTCAACTCCTAACTAACTTTTGTTTAGCAAGACAGCTGCGTGCCTTTCAGTATACTTTCAGTAAGGCTGGTTTTAGGGCAGTCTAATGGTTAAACAACCATCATTTGACGAATATGTATACTTTTAAATTCAAAGGTCATACTCTGAAAATCAACGTAAATATAAAGTATAATATTTTATTATATAAGTATGCGTTTTACAAACAATTTTTGTTGTAATCTCAATAACATACTAATTTTTGTTGTAATCTCAATATATATTTAGGTCTTTCATAATGCATTAAATAATTTTTATTGGGAAAAAAATTGACGGAATTTACAACAATTTAGAAGAACTTAAAATCAAGTCTTCATTAATGTGTCTAGTATATAAACATGTCAAATCTCAATAACATACTATTTTTTTCTTGTGACCTCAATGGAACCTAGTTTCATTTTACTGCATTTAAGATGTTTTTTCATACAAAAATTTAGAATATCATACGGCATGCATAGATAGTTTTTAAATGGATACAAATATATGATATGACAAGGCATTCTTCTAAAAATAGATATAAGCATTGGAGTCGTATAAAAACGGATCGACCTGATTGTTAGACACATCACAACAGTTTTTGTATCAATATACGCATAGCTCATAATAAATGGTCCGTGTATATTACATAGTCAATAGGCTTTTTTCTTATTAATTTGTTCTTATGTCTCGAATGAGTTAATGAATTTATTTGCCAAATTAATTTACCAACTGACTTATTGAACCACGTGTTCCAAAATATTGAATTATTTGTTTATAATAATAATAATAATATAATAATAATAATAATAATAATAATAATAATACATATATATATATATATATATATATATGCAGGCTATTCATTTATTGTAAAAGAAAAGAATTTCTTGCCTGAAATTTTATTTTTTTAGGAAGTTTTTATTTTTCTTTAGTTGTGTTAACATCATTAAATTTGTAATAAATATTATAATATTCACAAAAACTGTAACGGTTAGGTTTTAAAAATTATTATAATTATACATTTTGTTATTTTTGTAAACGATAAGTAATATTATATTTTGACGTAACCTTTGAATATTACTACTATATAACTCTTCTTTTAGTTGAAAATTAATTTTAAAATATGAACTTCAAATTATTCTTACCTAATTTTAACCACCTTGAATAGTAAAAATAAAATAGTTTCACAAAAATTATTTAGAAGCAATATGTGGATTTCGAATTTGTTTTAGAAAAATGAATTTATAAAATCAACCATAATCCTATAAATTGTTTTGCGTTTTTTATTTGTAGGGATTCCATTATTAATTTGATGCGGTTCTATATGTAGCAATATATATCCTATCTAAATTTTCAGTTTCGTAATGTAAAATTATATTAGTTTTTATCAAGTTATGTTACTTTTATCAATTTTCATTTTAAAATGAAGTTGTAATTGTTGTTATGTACACAGATTATACAAATTAGTATATTGATTATACATAACAGTTTTTTTTTAAGTCTTGCCTACATATAGTGCTAAAAATTTTACTTTGTTATTATATGTTGTTGATATCCGAGTTGGACACTTATGAAAATTCCGGTTCGAGGACAAGGAACCGGAAGAGGACGATTAGCCTTCTAGGCCGATCTCTGAGCAATCACGGAAATGCCAAGCTGACCAAGGACCAGAGTCAACGAGAACGACGTGTTACATCATTTTTGAGGTCGGCCCCTGACCACCTCATTATGACGCCGATCTGGGAAGGTGTCGAACAGAGAAATGTGATCCTGGGAGCCGGGGGATGAACTAACAGCCGACGTTTGGACTGAATGTTCTCATCGAGTCGGCCTGCGGATGAGGTGAGGACCTGGAAAACAGTATTATAATGCGACTTGTCAACTAATGATTGCCGATGGGATGTGTCAGTCTAGCCTGCAGCCCTATGATGCCTAGTTCGGCCTAGAGGCATGTCTGCATTTAATGCAGCCTATACCAACAGTAAATGCTCAGCAGGTAATGATTAGGAAAGTCACAAATTACTCTCAATCAGTCAGAAAGACGCCAACCTGTCCCTCAGGTGCACTGTACGACGAGACAGCGTGAACAGTGGAAGAACAGTGCCACATTTAATACCACTATAAATAGGAGACCCCCTTATTTATTTTGGGGTTGTTGAATGTCAACTAACTGCCTTCTCTCTACTCTTTTCCTCTCTAGAATCTGTAATAATTTCCTGTAAGAATCGCAAAGTGTAACCAAAGTGCCGACCTCGTAATTACGTAATAAAACTCCCTTTTCGCAGTATTTCTCTGCTATTTCACATTTTTACTCTCAAAATACTTTACCGTTGATCGGATTCGTCCATCAACATATGTCTTACAAGTTAAAATATCACATTTAACTATTAAACTAAATAATCCAAATTGTACGTGTATTGTATCAAGAGACGCCACAAGAATCAGAAGTCTGGATAAACCTTCATTGAAATTACACATGCAAGAATAAAATAGGTGATTGAGATATATTGCACACAATAGAATAAAATTAGGTGGTGGGTGAGTGAGTAAATTGCACTAGACAAGCCCTAGCTTCCTCTTATTCCAAACCCAAGACCCTTTAATAATAATAATAAAACAATTATATAAAGTATAATAAACCCACATCCATGAGGAGGAAATGACACTACAAAAAGGGGTACATATTTCTTGAGTTGCACTAATTTGTAGCTCTCATTTCTCGTCATTTCTGAAAAAACCCCAAATCCACCATCTTTTTACTCTCATAATTTCTAGCCTTTTCCATCGTTGATTTAGCTTCCCTTTTCATCAACAACTCTATATATTTATATGGGTAGAAATGACCTACACATAACAACATATAAATTGATTAAGGAAAAACCAAGTAGATTAGTTGAGTGATTTGCCCTTAGCTAGTCAATCACATAGATTTTCTTTGATTTGGTTTATAAGGTTTGTAAGAAGGAAGTAAAACAAAAGGATATTAGGTAAGATATCAATAACATGGATTTGTGGGGATTGGTTTGTGTTGCATTTGCTGGGATTTTGCTTTTTCAAGATCATGGATTCTGTTCATCACAACAAGGTACCATATATAATTAAAATTTCATTTTGGTTTTTATAACTCTCCTCATTTTTTCTTTTTTTTTTCTTTTTTTTTTTCTATGTAAATTTCACCCTACACTATTAATTTATTTACTCACCAACTTACCCGACATTATTAATTTATTTCTCATTGCATGATTACCATTTTCTTTTGACTTTTTACTCATTAAATGGAACCTTTTCTCAACGAGAACTTTAATTAACAATCAATGTTACTCTATCATCCATTTGTATTAATCCATTTTATACTTATCAACACATGCATGTTTACTCCATTTCACAATTTGCTTAGTTTGTTTGTGCTGGCTTTTCTAATGTTTAGTAGAACATAAGTAATAAGCCATGGTTACATTCTACATTATTTTTCTAGTGTCACTAATTAACTTTTTAATAAATATACATATTTTTAAATTTAAATGCCATAGTTCAAATAGTAATATAAAACAAAATTATGATACTTCATAGCATAAGTGTGCATTTTATTTAAAAGAGTGCAACGATTTAGTCAGTTTAATGATTAGGCCGACTCGCACAAGAATTTGTGAACTCATTATATGTTTGTCATTGTCTATTATATATATATATATATATATATTTGAACAAACATATATATTTTGTAAAAATAGTTATTATCTAATTATTTGCAATGTCATATTCTCATGTATATACACCAATATTTTGCGCAAAATGTTAGGTGTAAATTTGCCTGTAGCATAAATTTGTCAATGTGCTGGGACTAATTGGACAAGAGATTTTAATTCAGTGAAATTAAAGGGACCCATGAATTAATTATGCTCCTCTTTACTTCCATATATCCAACTACTTTGCCCTGCAGGGACACGAAGCCATTGATTAACTGAAAATGACCTCTTGGTTTCTTAATTTTCAGGTTAAATTGTAGTATAATTTGTCTACAAATTTATGGGTTTTGGTAAAATTAATCTACAAATTAAGTAGCAAGTTTGGTTCAATTAGTAATTTATTTTCACAATTTGGGTCCAAATTTAGTTGGAAATGATCATTTTCTTATTTAAAAAAGTACGTAGTGGGAACTTGTTGATTTTGACCAAATTAAGAGTCAATGATTATGTGGTCGATGATTGAGAGATAATTTTATGGAAAATTATAGAATTAACTTTACAATATTATCAATAATAGTCCACCAAGTAAACTACAATTTTACCACTACTTTGTGTTGTATGATAATTTGTTTCAATTATATAGGAAACAATGACAAACTACTAGCTGAATATATAAATTATAATAAATTACAAAAAGCGTATCCCTCGGACCACAAAGAAAAAAGGAAAAAGGAAAAAAAAATAAAGAAATAAATAAAAGCAAGTGAAAAGATCCATGTGTGGAAATTTGTATGAATGAACTTCTTCTAAATTATTATNCTAATTTAGATATCAGCTTCCAATTCATATTTCATGTCATTGGATAAATAATACACTTTGCATGATAATGTCACAATTATATACATGTTATTTATCTATAGAATAAATTTCAAATTGCAACATAATTCTGAAACATGAAATTTGTTTCCAATTTAATCGGATAAGATTTTTTATTTTAAATTCATGTTCTAAACTATTGAATGGATGACACGTGTCTAAAATGACATCAGAATTATATATGTCACTCATTTAATTATGAGATTTTCTATTGTCAATCAATGTTTTAATTTCTATTTCATGCTAATGAATGAATGGCATGTGCCCGTAATAACATCACGGTAATATACGAGTCATTCCTCCAGCAAATGAAATAGAAATTAAAACAAATTTTAAACAGTTCCCTAATAATTCAACAGAACATTAATAATGGATAAATATGTATGGTCGATGAAAAAACGGTACTTACCCGTCACTCGTGTACGGTTTAGAAATTTTCATTTTCAGTTGCATGTGAATGTGGCAACATGTAATTAATACCTAGGCCTATATTGACAATGATAGAACAACAAAATAAAACTATGAACTAAATTGATTTACAACTAGTACTCATTTTTTTTTTTTTAACATATATAAATAACATATTATAAGTCATATACACTTATATTATTATTATAATCTTAAGTTATATAATATGCATGTAACATTTTATAAATTTGACTATTAATAAAAATGAACAATATAATTATAAACTATTCTACTTATATATAAATTACATAAAGTTGGCATAAAATGTAATGAATAATATAATTTTCACAAATTTAAGGGATCGTGACCAATTAGTTATTTGAATAACAATTTATTATTAATTATTATTATTTATGTAATGTTAAGGAATTTTTCCATTAAAATCTATTACCTATTAAAAGCACTGGTTAACGAGATAAAAATAAAACAATAATATTAATTCTAAAATAAATAACTTGAAGTAAAAATCATGCAATAAATAAATATAGATTACACTAACAATAATAATTTATGAATTTTTTTTGCTTATTTTTTATTTTGCAAAATTACTATTACAGCCCCAAACTACCCCTTCGTCCACCAAGCCACTTCGGCCCCACCCGTCTCCTACTACGACTACATCGTGGTAGGAGGCGGCACGGCCGGGTGCCCCCTCGCCGCCACCCTCTCCCACCACAACACCACCGTCCTCCTCCTAGAGCGTGGCGGCTCCCCCTACGGCAACTCCAACATAACCAACCTCTCGGCCTTCGGTCAGGCCCTCTCTGACCTCTCCCCCTCGTCCCCCTCCCAACGCTTCATCTCCGAGGACGGCGTCATAAACGCGCGTGCTCGGGTCCTCGGCGGCGCCAGCTGTCTCAACGCAGGTTTCTACACGCGGCCGGCCGCAAAGTACGTGCGCGCGGTTGGGTGGGACAGCTGGCTCGTGAATGAGTCGTACCGATGGGTGGAGCGTGTTGTGGCGTTCAAGCCGCCGATGCGGCAATGGCAGTCGGCGGTGAGGGGCGGACTGCTGGAGGCCGGCGTCAGACCATACAACGGCTTTACGTACGACCACATCGTCGGGACGAAGGTAGGCGGGACCATATTCGACGGCGAAGGGCGGCGGCACACGGCGGCGGACCTCCTGCGGTACGCCGACCCGCGGGGGCTCACGGTGATGTTGCACGCTACGGTTCACAGAATATTGTTCAGAACCAAAGGTACATTTTTTCGTATTCGAATTAGTGGTAATATTAGTAAATAGCATTTTCATTTTGTAAAGAGATGAAATATGGGAAATGCTAAGGTCCCGTTACGGTACCATTCCGTCAAGTGTTTAAACCGTTGGATTATCTATCTTATACAAACTACATGTGATCCCCCGATGAAATATAGCCATTATTTTTGGAAGTATGAATAAATAGTCATTTTGCTTTTTGAAATTATCAAAATACCCCCTCCACGCTTTTTCACTTAAACCACTTCTAGAGATCCAAAAATGATTTCTAGCGGTTACTGTAACATTTACATAATATCTTGAATTCCAAAATTAATTTTTGAAATTTTATAAATGATTTTTAGAACACATAAACAATGTTTTAAATTCTACAATTGATTTGTGAATTCTAAAAATGATTTATGGGTGTTAGAAATTATACATTATTTTTTATTGAAAATTTGGAGTAAAGTTAATTATGTCATTTCGCAGGGTAAAATGACTAATATTCAAGTTTTTCACAAAAAGTTTTTATATTTCATATTTGCATTTGTTAGCTCGCATAAATACAAGAAAATGCTCCAATTATATAGTGACATGTCATTTTGTTATTTTATTTTCTTAAAATGTTACAATAAGTCGCATAAACTCACATTTTCAACACAACAATCATGTACATCCAAAATGTTAACAGCGCTTCAAATTCTTCAATGAAACTTTTAAAAGGCTCATGGTATAGCATATAAATTAAACTATTGTTTTAGTTTATTATTTTATGATTTAGTAAATCATTATAAGTTAAAAGATTTTATTCATACACCTAGTGAATTTAAATGTATAGAACAAAGGAAATATACTTAAAAATAATAACTTTATTATGTAAACTAGCTAATAGGAAAACACATATTTTGACATTTATAATCTAAGAGGTCATTGGAGATTTTTATGACTTTTTTTAGATTTTAGGAATCATGGTATATTGGACTTTCTAAAATTGTTAAAAGTTCAGAAGTATTCCATTAATAGTTTAAAAGTTTTGAAAAGAATATGAAGTATTCAATTTATTTTTACTTGGATTTGTTTGAAACTTTGAAGATTTATTTTGATTTCAATCAGAAATTACATATATGAAAATCCCACATCCAAACTTGTTAATATGTCCAAGAATTTTAGTAAAGTAAAAAATTCTTAAAAAATCTCGACTTTTAAAAAACTCTATAATGCCATTTAAAGTCACAAATGAATACCCCTCATTAAACAATTATGTGTGTACCAATTAAAAATTGAGAAAAAAAAAGGTTTAAAATTGTTATTATTACTATTGGTTCTTGTTAATCAGGAAAAAGCAGGCCACTAGCTCATGGGGTGGTGTTCAGAGATGCATTAGGGCATAAGCACAGAGCATATTTAAGGCCTGGGTCCAAGAATGAGATCATATTATCATCCGGGGCCATTGGGAGCCCACAACTGTTAATGCTGAGTGGCATAGGCCCAAAAGAGCACCTTAAGGCCCATAACATAACAGTTGTTCTGGACCAGCCTATGGTGGGCCAAGGCATGTCGGACAACCCGATGAACGCGATATTCGTCCCGTCACCAATACCGGTGGAGGTTTCGTTGATTGAGGTGGTCGGAATCACCCGTGTCGGGAGCTATATCGAGGCCGCTAGCGGTGAGAACTTTGCCGGTTTCCCTACTCAAAGAGACTTTGGGATGTTCTCTCCTAAGGTATATATTATACATAATTTAGTATGTATATTATTCATTTACCTCATTTGTTTTCCTTATGAATCACTTTTATACAATTTTTCATAAATTCTATATAGCTAGACTGACTCCCTTATAGAGTCATCCATAAATTGCGTATTAATAGAAATGTCCTGTGCATTTTTATCTTAAAAATGTGGCAAATACACTTTTTGTAAGTCATTATTGTTGTTCCATAAGTCGTTTCATCTGATAATCTGATATCTGATCACGGTAACTTTGTAACAAAATTGTATAAAATCAAATACGACAAACACACATTTCCCACAAAATTACTTTCTATATAGCTAACATATAGTTTGAGGTACAAATCAATGCAGATAGGCCAACTCTCAACTCTTCCCCCCAAACAAAGAACCCAAGAGGCCCTAGAAAAGGCCATCAAGGCCATGGAGGCCCTCGAGCCCGCCGCCTTCCGTGGCGGCTTCATCCTCGAGAAGATAATGGGGCCCATATCCACGGGCCACATGGAGCTCCGTACCCGCAACCCGAACGACAACCCGTCTGTCACCTTCAACTACTTCAACGACCCGCGAGACCTTCAACGGTGCGTGGACGGACTCAAGCTAATTGAGTCCGTTATCGAGTCAAAGTCGTTCGCGCCTTTCCGCTACGACTACCTTTCGCTACCTCTCCTTCTCAACATGACGGCTAGCGCGCCCGTGAACTTGTTGCCGCGCCATGCGAACGTGTCGGTTTCGCTCGAGCAGTTCTGTCGAGACACGGTGATGACAATATGGCACTATCACGGTGGGTGCCACGTGGGCAGGGTGGTCGACCCCGAGTACAGGGTGCTCGGGGTCGATGCCCTAAGGGTCGTGGATGGGTCCACGTTTAATTATTCTCCGGGGACTAATCCTCAGGCAACTGTCATGATGCTCGGGAGGTAAAGGATTGATCATCGGTATTTTGCAGCGTGTATTATACGTGTGTTTTTAGCTTTTACTACATAAAGTATTCGTGTTTTTTTTTTCCAAAAAATAAATGCGACCTCGAGAAGATTCATATTTAATCTGCAACCTCGAGTGCATCTTGACTCTTGACTGCAGAATTATCAAGAGAACTGCATGTATGCAAGGTCAAGATGCACTCGATGTTGCAAAATATGAACTTTCTTGAACTTCAGATTGTATTTTACACTAAAGAATACTTTTATGTTGCAAAAGACCAAAACGTACATATTTAGCACAAGTTGCGAATTTGCTTGTTTTCACTTAGCTTATATATGGAGGTTGTGGTTTTCGTGTTGCTAGTATTAACGTTTTTCGTTGGGATGGATGGTTTATTATACAGGTACATGGGGGTGAGAATTCTCAAGGAGAGGCTTGGAAGCTAGAGATTAATGACTTCTTGCTATATATATTTGAATCTTTTAAGTGTGTGTTGGGTGTAAAGAATCTTGCAGTATGCAGAGCTTCATCTATTATTGAAATATAATTATTATAAGGAGTGTTTGCGTCAAGGATGCTAGTTATCGATGCGTTTTTCTTAATGTGTAATTGTCAAATTGCTGTTTTAGTATTTTTAGTAGTCTCTATGCATTGGGAAATTCGATACTAAACCCATGTGCAATATGTTTGTCCTATGAATGTTTTAGTCGTCAGGTCACACATACTCGTGCATATGTGTGTTGAACTGACGATTAAAGCACGAGTAACAAATGGATGGAAGTTTTAAGTAATTTATGGATTTGATTATAACATGAGCAGAAGTATAAGTGGGAAGTTGAACTCTAAGAGAAAGAAACAATATTTTCTATTAAGATATTTTGGAAAAATTTTACAAAATACAGTGAAATCCAATGCAATTGTAACTTCAAACTAAAATGTACCATAAGTTATCAAATGTATGTTCTCTCCATGCATAATGTCCTGTTAGTCGATATGAAACCATAATTGTAAAGGGGTACATAATTAAGGGGAAATACTGACTGCCCTAAATCCGTAATCATGCATAAACCGACTGCAATATCTTTTAAATATCCTAGGCATATTTGATTTTATAATAAAAACGCCCAATCATTGTCAAAGTTGAGATGGCCGAGTTGGTCTAAGGCGCCAGATTAAGGTTCTGGTCCGAAAGGGCGTGGGTTCAAATCCCACTCTCAACATAATCTCTAATTTTTTATTTTTTTTTTTTTCTTCATGATTTGATCCTTCTCTATTTTTTATTTCCGCAAGAAATCTCACATCTATCATTATATAAAAAGAATAACCTTTTTACAAATTTAGAAACTTTTTCCCGCCAAAATCATTAAATATATCCTAATATAGTAATTGTTGGACAAATCTGAATAGACAAAAAAATCGGCTCATTTTTTTAGTTTATCAAAACCGTTGTTTGACAATAAATATTTGTTTTTCTTTTTCCTATTTTTAGTATAAATCTACACGCTTATCTCTTTTGTTACAAAATCCAATTGCATACGATCTCACGTGTTTAAAAAATCTCATCCCTTATCTATACAGATTTAAAAAAATAAAATAAAATAGAAACCAATTCATAATTACTACTAGAAATCCATTATTTTTAAAAAGAAAAAATAAAATAAAATAGAAACTAATTCATAATTACTACTGGAAATCCATTATCTACTTTAAGAAGCTAATTTTCATCGGTCTAATTACTAATATTTTTACAAATATTATAAGCTAACCATACAAAAAAGTATAATAATAATTTTGAAATGGTGTGTAATCAAATTTTTTTATATTCTCTTATACAAAATAATTTTACATTGTTTGACCCCGAATCTTTAATTTATAATTATTAAGTATTGTTTATCCTCCTCTTTAATTTATAATTATTTTTTTTGCTTCCTCTTTTTAAATAGGAACAATAGTAGTTTCCACTTCCGTCATTGAGTGAGGTCTATTTATAATATTATTAATTTAATATTGTTTCCGTGCATCGCACGGGGTATACACTAGTTTCTATACTATACAATATACATTCCTTTTCCCTTTCTCTTTCATAATTTTTTCCCCTCAAGAAAGTCACATTGGTACACTATAACTGTACAAAAATAAAAAAGGACCTGAAACTAAGAGCATGATTGGATATAAACCCAACCCAAAAAATCCAATCATTTTTAACTCAATCATTTTTTTTAACTCAACTTTAACTCAACCACACTATCATCAACATTATCAATATAATTAAATAATATCAATCAATCATTCTTACACACAACATCAACCTTAATTCACTATTCATCAACTCACATAATTTTAACTAACCATCATATCACATTTTTTCTCTCCTACCTTTACATCAATTTAATTTTAATCATTTTATTTTAAATATTATTTTGTTATATCCACTAACAACTAACTATACCAACTTTTTTAAATTTAACCAACCCAAATCAAAAATCCAATCAAAACAAAAACTTTTTATATCCAATCATGCTCATAGATCTCAGCATTCAAGGCAGCTCTTTAGGATATCATACTCCCAATTTTAGTTAAAAAAAAAAGGGTTAGAAAAGAGAAAAAACATTGTATATCACAAACAACTCAACATCTCAATCAGTTTTATTGATGTAATCAATCAATAGATTCAATACAACATTCAGTATATAAAAAGAGACATTACATTGCAACAGAATCATGTGAATGGAAACAAGACAAAAGAACAACAACAAAAAGAAACTTGCATTGCAACAAAATCATGTGAATCGAAACAAGGAAGAAAAACCATCAACAACAACAACAACTAAAACAAAAAGAAACTAAGAACGTGAAGAAAAAAAATGATAAAATCCAGTGACAACTCATCCAAACCTCTGATTCTCAAGCAACGGGTGTCTTCCTATTCGGTTCGAACACATACTTAACGAGGGACTCCTTTATGGATAGCATCTCAGGAAATTCCCGCTTGAGTTTGGTGGCATCAAGCTCGTTGTTACTCCTTGGGGCAACAATCACTTTAGCCTGTTCCTCTAGAGTGAAGTTCTTCCAGGTGAAGCTTGAGTCGATATATTCTCGATACATCTCCAAAATCTCGTTATGACTAACGACCCCCGGATTGGTGAAGTTCCATATTCCAGTGAGGTTTCTTTTCGCCATCTCAATGGATATTGGAAGCAGTTCATCTAATATTGTCATAGAATTCGGTATGTCCACCACTTTCTCGTACCTTGTGATTTTTGTGATGAAATTACGAGGATTCGAAAGATCAGACGAGATGGGCATCCTCACTCTCAGCGTGCAGACGTTCTCATAGTTGTTCAGTAAATCCTCAACCTTGTACACAAAAGTTAAAAAAAACAAATTAAAAATAAAAATTTAAGTGTCTTTATGAATTATTTCATAATCATCTAGTGTAGTATTTTATAATTGAATCAGTTTAGAAGCATATGCTGCATATCCTTTCAGCTACATGCTAGTTACCACAACATTGGAAATCTATAGTAATATGACTGAATATTGATTAAGTTGCCAAGACGAATAGAACCTATGGATTGGTAGATTACTGAAGAAAGTTACTAGCAACTAAGCAAAGAGTACTATAAAGAAATGTAAAATGTGACCACTTTAGACAGCACCATAAAAGAAAACCTCCTTAATATGCAGATTCCAATAATGCTCAATGGATATTAATTACCTCGAATCATAAAACCTACATATGATCTCGCAATTGTCAAGTACTAAGCTAAACAGCGATCGGTTGACTTTAAAGATCTTACACACTTCAATAAAACACACTAAGACAATCGAATCATAACCTGAATGCACAGAGGAAACATCGTATACGCTCCTTCAAAGGTCGACTATCCACAATTTCGAAATCCAAACTCCATAGGTTCCACTTAACACAAAAATGCACTGATACTCCAAAGAACTTCACTTTCAACAAAATCAAGTACTAAAAACAATTCTTAACAAATACATTAAGCTAAATGACACACTCCAGAGCAAATCAACAAAGATCTAATTCAAGATTCTCAAACAATATAACAGCACAGAAAAGTAAATCAAACAAAACCCACCATTGCTTTGGTCTTGGAGTAGAAGGATCCGATAAAGTTGGGCGTGTCCTCCTCCTTGAACCCGACACCCGAACCGAGCGGATGCCCCGAATCATACTCGAAAATACAGCCCGTGGCATAGTTAATCAGCACAAGACCCTTTTCCCGGCATACGTCAGCGAGCGTCAACGTGCCGACGACGTTGGTGCGGACGGTCTCCACCTTGTGGGACTCGCACCAGTCCACGTTGGGCCGGCCGGTCACGCCTGCGGCATTGAAAACGTGGGTGGGCCGGGCTGAGACGATGTCGGCTTCGATCGAGACCCGGTTCTCCAGCCGGCCCGAACCGTAGACGTACTCGATGCTCTGGGCCTCGCAGAGCTTGCCCAGCAGCCCGCCTATCCAGCCGGTCCGCCCGTAGATCAAGAATTTGAGGGGTTGAGCGGCGGAGCCGTTTGCCGTGGCGCCCATTTCCGGAATTTCAGTGTGCTTTTGGGGGAGTGAAAGGGAAAAGAAAAGGACGAGTTGGGATCTGTATCCTGTTTTTTTCAGATCTTATTCATTTGGGAAAATGTTTGTGGAGCTTATTTGCAATTGCCGAACATAGCAGCTCCCGTTGGAGCTCATCAATCGGTCGGCTCGAGTTTAACTCAGACTTGATTTGTTTAAAAACCTATAATTTTAAATGAGATACTCATTAACATGAAATTTTTAGTCCATTCGCACACAAGTGTGGCTCGATTATTTCATTTAAAACGAAGTGTTAGCGAAAAAGCTTGGTTGTGCTCGTTTAATATACAAGTTTGATTAGTTATTCGAGCTCGATCCGTTATAGATGAACTAACCGTATTGAATTGTGTTGGCCAACTGTTTGTGTTTAGTTTGTTTAATAACTCTTAAAAACTATAAATTACTTTTTTCTAACATATTATTTGCATAGAAATTGAAAAAAATAAACCACAAATTTTCTTAATTGGTATACTAAAATAATGGTTTTTAATTTTATTTATTTTTTTTCACAAATTTAAATGATAATAGTAATGCTATTCCGTGTTAGCGTGTCGAATTGCTTTTCTCGACGTGGGAATGTCCAGGTCAACTGAAATAATTGACCCAAATAGACTAAACAACCACGGTAGATATATAAATTGGCCTTAATATATATTATATTGATAATATTACGAAGACATGGATTGAAATGAATTTTAGTTAGACTTATTAATTTGACCAGATAGTTTATAACTTTGACCAGGTGAAAAGAATTTTAAATTCGTGAACAATTTAGAGTTTTGCTCATAAAGAAATCAAGTTCAAGTATTGTAGTGTTATATATCATGATTTTATTGTGCTAATTTTAACTATTGTTTAGTACTTATATAATTTGAAATATGGATCATATTAGGGGTACAGATGAGCATGAGTTGGTACGGTTTTAGAGATTGAGAAATCTCCGGAACCGTACCAAAATTCGGAGATCCCTAAATTCGATCTCCGAAACTGTACCAAAAAACCGGTTTGGTTCGGTTTGGATAGTTTTATTTTTCAGTTCGGTTCGTTATTTGAGACTATCGAAACGGTTCGATTCAGTATGATTTGGTTCAGATCTTCGGAGATTTCTTAGTAGGACGAAGACCGAGTACATGACGTGCGCTTTCAGCATGGCTTCACATGATGATGGTGACGTTACCCTTGACGGGAAAGTGGTGGCCAAGAAGGAGACTTTCCGGTATTTGGGACCGATGCTACAAAAGGATGGCGGCATTGATGCTGATGTTAGGCATAGAATTGCAGCCGGTTGGTTGAAATGGCGTCAGGCGTCAGGCGTTCTCTGTGATAAGAGGGTGCTACAAAGACTAAAAGTTAAGTTCTATAGGACGGCGATTCGCCCGGCGATGCTATACGGTGCTGAATGTTGGCCTACAAAAAGGCAACATGTCCAACAACTAAGTGTAGCAGAGATGCGTATGTTGCGTTGGTTCAGCGGACACACAAGAAGGGATAGAATCCGGAATGAGGATATTCGAGATAGGGTCGGGGTGGCTCCAATTGAGGAGAAATTGGTTCAACATCGGCTAAGGTGGTTCGGACATGTCCAACGGAGGCCTCCTGATGCACCGGTGCGTAGGGGAGTTCTACAGCGGGTCGAAGATGTTAAGAGAGGTAGAGGTCGGCCTAAACTCACTTGGGAAGAGTCGGTTAAGAGAGACCTTAAAGATTAGAATATCTCCAAGGATTTAGCGGTGGATAGGAGCGCTTGGANAATACTTCATCATATTGAATATTTTATTGTGAAATGAACTATAGAAGTAACTGTAGATTTTGGTTATTTAATTTTTATATGCTGTTATAAAACCAAACTCATCAATAATTCTTCATATTAAAGATTTTATTTTGAATCAAGAAGTAACTATAAATTTTCGTTAAGACTAAATTTGTGCAACTAATATTTAAAATTTAAAATCACACAAAATATAATATAGTTTTTTCTTAAAAAATATTCTTTACCTTTTTGTATCATTTTAAATAATTTTTTTATAATTAAAAAAAATTCAATTGTAGATCAAGTATTACTAAGCATGAAATTTAAGTGAAGGTTAATTGTTATTACTATATTATTTAGGATCAAAGTTGACATAAAATATATTAATAACACACATCTAAGGTTACAATTCACTTCTTGATTTGGTTATTCGGTTCGGTATGGTATGGGACGGTTCCGTTCAGTTTTCGGTACAGATATTTGTGAAATCTCTAAAATCACGGTTCCGTTCAGTTTTCGGTACAGATATTTGTGAAATCTCTAAAATCATACCAATTATTTTTTGGTTCGGTTTGGTTCGGAGAAAGTCAAACGGTCAACGGTTATTTTTCGGTTCTGAGTGATTTCGGTTCGATTTTCGAAACGATTCGGAATTCTCCGAGTCCCATGCTCAGCCGGTCAGCCCTACTTAGGGGTGATCATGGGTCAGTACGGTTCGAAAATTGAGAAATCTCCAGAAAGGTACCAAAATTTGGAGATAACTAAATTCGATCTCCGAAACCATACCAAAAAATTAGAACGTTCGGTTCGGAGAATCTTATTTATCGGTTCGGTTTGGTATTCGGGACTATTGGAACGGTTCAATTTGGTATGGTTCGGTTCGGATCTTCGGAGATTTCTTATTTTTTCTAAAAAAAAAATAAATATTTAATTTTAATATGCTTTAAAAAAAGCAACATTCATCAACACTTCATCATATTGAATATTTTATTTTGAAAATCAACTTTAGAAGTAACTCTAAAGTTTAGTTATTTAATTTTTATATGCTTTATGAAAACCAACATTCTTCAATACATCCTCATATTAAATAATTTACTTTGAAATCAATTTTAGACTCTAAATTTTAGTTAAGGCTAAATTTGTGCAGCTAATATTGAAAATTAAAAATTTAAATAAAATATATTCTTAAAAAATATTCTTTAACTTTTCATACTATTTTAAATATTTTTTTTTATAATAGAAAAAATTCAATTGTAGATTAAGTATTACTAAGCATGAATTTAAGTGAAGTTTAATTGTTATTACTATATTTTATTTGTATTTTAAGAATTCTTAAATTATATATGATCAAATGTGACATAAAATATATTCATAACACACATGTAATGTTGTAATTTGGTTCTTCGATTCAGTACTGGATGGAACGGTACGTTCGATTCTCGGTACAGATATTTGTGAAATCTCCGAAACCTTACGAACTATTTTTTCGGTTCGGTTTGGTTTGGAGAAAGTTAAACAGTCAACGGTTATTTTTCGGTTTGATTTTCAGAACGTTTCGAAATTCTCCGAGTCTCATGCTCAGTTCTAGATCATATACCATGCAATATAAGATGAGCTCCACCCAAGGATCGCGTACCTTACCTATTCTCTAAGACCTGTATAGCATGGTTCGTGCTCGAACTCGGATTTTTGTTTTAACTACCGTGCCCATCCTGTATTCTGATTTCTGATACGCTATTTTAACCGAATGTGCAATAGACTTGCTCTATGTGGTGCTAGAATTTATGGGTTTTCCGACCGTTGCACACATATCCGACTGAAAGAATGTAGCCGTGAAGTTTAACATACAAACAAAAGGACAGGATACTTGTGTCGAAACTCAAAAGTGATGAAATTTTTCTCGTTGATAGACTAGAAGCAACCCCAAAGGCTCAAACCAACAGTCTTATTTAATAGAAACCACAACCAATTTGCATAGCAGATTTGTCTTCACAAAAAACAAGGCAAGCACATAGTTTTCTCAAGGATCAGGATAAGATACCACAATTTCCCCCAAAATGGAGAGATACATCTGAAACCTCTTCTTGCGAAGTGCAGACTCCTGCTCGAGAAATGCAGCAAAGTCATGACGAGTTTGTTCCCCCTCAGCCGGGCTATCATGATCACCCTTACTTTCCTCATCCTCCCCGCCCTCACTAATTGCTTCCCCTTCATCCACGACTTCATCATCCAGCTCTTCAACCTCCTTGGCTTCAGTCTCCTTACCTACTTCCCCAATATCGAGCCCTTTCTCCTCAATGTTATGAACTTCAGCCTCCGAATTTACTTCTCCGTCATTGAACCCTTCATCCTCAACACCATAAACTTCAAGTTTCAGCAGGTTTTCACAGTGTATGTCCCTTTCATCGACCAACCCTTCCTCCAGCCCCTCGACTCTCTCAACTCCGAGCTCCTCACCTTCACCTTCACGGCTTCCTTCCCATCCTGCAAATCCTTCCACTTCATCATCCATCCCTTCAACCTCCTCGACCTCGGTCTCCTCACCGACTTCTCCTTCATTGAGCCCTTCCTCCACAATACTATCAACTTCAGCCTTCGGATTTACTTCTCCTTCATTGACCCCTGAATCCTCAACCCCATAAACTTCAACTTCCAGCTGGTTTTCACGGCGTACGTCCCTTTCATCGGCCACCCATTCTTCCAGCCCCTCGACTCTCTCAACTCCGAGCTCCTCACCTTCACCTTCACTGCTTCCTTCCCATCCTGCAAATCCTTCCTCTTCATCATCCAGCCCTTCAACCTCCTTGACTTCAGTCTCCTCACCTACTTCCCCTTCATTGAGCCCTTCCTCCACAATGCTATCAACTTCAGCCTTCAGATTTACCTCTCTTTCATTGACCCCCTCATCCTCAAGCCCATAAACTTCAAGTGCCAGCTGGTTTTCGAGGCGTACATCCCTTTCATCAACCACCCCTTCCTCCAGCCCCTCGACTCTCTCAACTCCAAGCTCCTCACCTTCACCTTCACTGCTGCCTTCCCATCTTGCAAATCCTTCCTCTTCACCTCCATCTATACAAGCAGTCCGTGGATCGAATATACAACCACCGTTACGATTGTAGAACGCGATATCGCATTCCTGTGCTGTTATCCAATAGAAACTGGCAGGGCCACTGATCGTAAGAGCTCCGTAACGCTCGGAATTCCACCACGCCACAAAACAGTGATGGATGATTGAAATCAATGAATCCAAATCCTTAGCAAACTTCGTCTGTATTTTCTCAGCAGTGATAGAGCCATTGCGGTTCCTGAACTTCAGAGGAATGACTTTCGAACCATCGATTTCCTTTGTAGCTACAATGTAGTCAAGCTTCGAAATGAAATCCTGCCATTCTTCCATCACCGGATCTAAGCGAGTTTCGTTCCCTCCAGTCAGGCTCATGTACTGGAATTCATAGCCCTCCCACGGCCAAATCACATTCGGTCGAACTTCAAAAGTATTTCCCGGTCTTTCTTTGGCTAAACTTCTCGCAAGTGAGTAGTAATCAGTTATTGCTTCCCTTTCAACATCAATCTCTGCAAGCAGTTCGTCAATCTTACCATGACCTCGCTCATAAATGAAAATCGTACAATGGCTTTCAGGCTTGCTCGAAGATGCTGTACCCGAACCCGAACTGGAATCATGATCTGGAGACGCTATTAGCTTGAAAAAGCTAGAATTCTCCGAGTTATCCTGACGACAATCAGGACAATTATATCAAACCTAGTGAAATCTAGTCTCAAATAATACTAGAAAAAATCCAATGGAAATGGAAATTCGCAACAAAATAAATCGTAGTGTTTATTTGAGATAAATCGACGGCAAATCTTGTTGGTATATGTGTCCTAGAGACAATCATTTTAAGGACATATATACATGATCACATTAATAATTATATTGGATTATAATTATGGTATTGCAATTAATTAAATAATTATTTGATTGTTTGCAATTTATTAATTAATTGCTCCCTTGAGTTAATACTGTCATTAGCAGAGTGAGATGTTAATTGATGAAGTATAACTCTCAAATCGCCTCAATCGATGATCATTAAGAAAGGGATATTAATGATACGCGATAGATTGACATGTGGTCTGCATCACATTCTTCGAGAATATAGTATGTCTCACTGCTATGAATAATTGTTATTCGTGATGGACACATGGATACTTTGGAGAGTATTGGCATACCCTACCGATAAACCATTTGTTTATGTGTCTATGGGAGTATCGGTGTGTGGAATGGTGTAATAGTCCTTTGACTTGAGGTCAATACGCAATTCATGTATAGAGTGATTTACTTAGACCTAGTCCAACGCTTACGCCCTTATGGGTAGATACGGGCTTGTGTTGGGTAGATCACGATATACATGGAATTGGTAGTTGAGCCAAGATAGGATTCATTCCTCGAATATAGTTTCGAGAGAACACTCGTTTTCTCTATACTGGGTTGA